CTGGTAGCGGCACCCAATGGTTGTCCTGACAGGATAGGCCACCTACCCTACCCATCCCCACGTTAATACTTCCAGCGCACCCCCTTTCCCTACTATCCTACCTCGGTGTGACCAGCACTTAGGGCCATCGCCCTACCAGTATTGAGGGCAATTTGGACCAGACAGCATTGACAAGCACCAGGGCTGGGCCAACCTCCCAGCCCTAATGGAAGCGGAAGTGGACAAACCTTGCCGTACGGGAACTTCGGACGCCAGGCTCATGCAATCTTCTACAGGCCCAATTCAGAGAGTCTACCCAGCAGGATTACCTAAGCAAGGCAGGCAGCGCCCGCGGACACATCCTACCGTCCTTCCCCTAGCTTACCCAAGGCTAGGCGGAACTCTGACTAGCTGGAGCGACTTATATCCCTACCCTACCCTAGAGGTAAGCCATGCATGCGTAGACCCCGTCATATACCTGATAGACCCCCTCAGCCCAATATCGTAGTTATGTGTATATGTGTGTGGCAAGAGGCTATGTATGTTTTTTGTATGGGCCCATAGGGCCATGTTTTTTTGTGTCTGCCCGAAGGCTATGTGTGCTCTGTGTAACTGTATAGCGAGATATGTGTGCCCGAAGGCCAGATATGTGCAGTACTATGTAGAGGGAACTATGAGATATGGGTGCCCGAAGGCCAGATATGTGCTGTACTATGTAGAGGGAACTATGTGTTCGTTTGAAGAGATGACAGGCCAAGCTGGACAATAACCCCCCCAAAGTCCCAAGCCAGACTTGAACCTGTGATCTATGACATATGACCTGAAGACTCTACCATTTGAGCGACAATCGCAAACGGCCCCTGTGTGTGATATGCCAGACTGGGGAGATCAACAGAACAACGACGAGTAATAGCCACAAGCAACCCATGCAGTATCAAGACCCGACATACAACACCATGGACAACGGCTTGGGTGGTGCACAAGCAGTCTGTATAAGCTTACCGTGTGTCAGCCTAAGGGGGTGTGTGTCCAGCCGTGCATCATTCTAATGCCCTGCCGGTGTCCATGCGCAAGGCTGCAATTGAGTTTTGAACCCGCAACCTTATACCACAATGCGCATTTCCAACCGGTGCTCTAACCTCTGAGCTACATTAACTGGACAATATATCAGGAAGTTAAGAGCCTGCAAGCATTGCTTGCCTTGGGTCCCAGGGGATTGACTGCACAGGGCTGATGGGAAAAAAAAGGGGAGGGAGCCTCTTCAGCCCTTGTAAACGGGCACCTGATAAAGGATGACCGACTAGCTCTCCCTTTTACGGTTGTCATGGAAAACAGACTGTTTCAAGAAAGACATGGCCGACAAGACCATTGCTTCTGCCGCTCGACTCTTGGCTGCTTACTTGTCCTCACCTTCCAAGAGGGGGCCTGTTGTTGAAGAGTCCCGAGGTCGTCGGGGGCATCCTATGAGTGTGGTCGTGTCCAGGGTGTACCGGACCACCACCTCTTTCTTATATGATGTATTCGGTAAGGGAAAGGGGGTGGGGTGGGAAGGGGTCTGGGAAATTAGCGGGGGGCCGTAATGGGAAAGAAGGATCGATGTTTAACCAGTCCTTGAACATCAGTCTATAGTCCCGCTTCCTTTCTCTATCGTGGTCTTCTAAAATGTCCCTGTCCCCACTCCATCTTATTTATGCTATCCATCCTCCCCTTTCCCCTCCTAGCCAGTCCAGACAGAAAGAAGTCGTTGCCTTCTTGATGTCTTTTCCTTGCTGGAAAAGATCCAGTTGTGGTTTCAAGGCTTGTCATTTTCGTGTTAGTTCCATCTGGACCTGTTGTTTGATCTGGTCCATGATCTATGTTGCATTCACTTGGACCTTGTCCAATTCAAGTAGACACCGTTGCCACCATAAGGCCCACAACACCGCTCGCCTCCCCAACCTAACCATGTTATCTTCAAAAGTGGAGGTGTCTTTTGCTGGGTGTCAGTGACCTGCCAGTATCGCTTGCAACGACCAAGGCTACGGGGACGGGGCGCACCAGTCCTCTTCTAGATGCGTTCCCAACCCCTCCAGATGAACTGAGCGATCGGGTACTACATGAATATGTGCTTGATCGTTTCAGCTTGTGGGCCGAGAAGGATTTTGAGTAGCGTTGGCACCATGGTAACAGTTCCCCCTCTGTTCCAAGGAAGTACGATCCACCAGCCAGTCGTTCGTAGGTAGACGTCGATGAATTATCTTCCATTGCAGGGAATTGATCTTAGCTGGTCGGGATTTTCTTTCCTGAAACCAACGAATGGGTTTAAGGCATGGCTACGATCCGTACGTTCGGACCGCTGTCCAGACAGTCTGGATTCAGTTCGGACTCCAAACGTTCGGTCTGGAAGGTCAGGATCTGCCAAATTTGGAGGCAAAAAAAAAGGGTCCAGGACCCTTACCTATTGAGGAGCCAAGCCCCCAAACTTGTTTTGGGGGTTTTTCAGGTCCGTTTGTGCTTTTTTGGGGGATCCGGACATGCTCTCTCTCTATAATAAGTTATTAGACAACCCCAATTTTTTAATTATTAATAATTCATTACCTATTATTAGTTTTTGAAGTGTTTGACTTCTAACTCAAGTTTGGTTAGGACTTCTAATATGACCTTGAGGCAAAAGTGGTTTGCATTGTTATGTTGCATAACATCCTTTTTTTTCATTTTTTTTTATTGGTCCGGACATTTCCGGACCTGTCTAGACATCCAGACCGTCTGGATCCTCCCATGTTCGGAGGTTCGGAAATGTTCGGAATTTCGGACGTCCGGATATTACCGGACACGGGTCCGGTTCCATGTCTGAAAATGTTCGGGTTCGGGTCCGGCGTAGCCATGGTTTAAGGAGACTGAGGTCCACGTTTAAATGTCTGGCCCACCGACCATTTATTTGGTCTCTTAGATGTCGCTTGGGGCGTAGCATCCTATAGGTGGATTTTATTGTTACTTGCAGATAGTTCCATTTCGGGGTGTGCCATGTTTGCCTCTGCGTGAGCTTCCAACGCCACTCCTCCGGGTCGAAAGGTAGGTCCCAGATGTTCTTGTCAGGCTGGAAGGCTACCCATCCCTTTCCTTCATCCAACACCCTAACTGTAATGAGCTCGTCTTTATCCACCCATTGAAAGGGGTCTCTGCTTCCTTGGAGGGTGCCCTTCTAACTTGCAATGTAATACTCTATGAGGGCTTTTTGCAGATCTTTCATGTGCACTTGACCAACCCTCCCTACTAGGCCAATGTGGGCCACCCAATCCCCCTCCTTTATTGACGGGCCATGACTCGGGATGCTTTCAAATGACTGTCCTAGTTGAAGATCTATGTGGTGGCGATATATGAGTGGTGCCCTCAACTATTTTGTCCCCTTCCAGTTTTTGCTCTCACAGTCCCATAGGTCCCCCACCCGAAGAATCCGCCATTTTACCCACCCCACCCATGGGGGGCCTGAGCTCAGCATTACACGCCCTTGCATGTCTGTGACCCATCAGTTCCCAAACAGGGGCTGGCAGAAAACTAACCTCCTCCCAACGATCCGGGAAGGGTCTGTTTGGAAGCGGGAGTCTGCGCCAACCTTTGAGTAGGTCTAGCCAGAGGTCGTCCACCTGCCGTACCGCTTGCTCCCCTCTATGCTATTGGTTCGGCGACCTTCTCGGTAGCCCCCGCGGGATCGCCCCGAACCTTTCGTCTATCCACCTCAGCGGGTGGGTTCTTGGAGGGGTTTCCGGTCCTAAACTGGTCAGGTTTTCCAGGGCTAGGGTGGTCCAAGGGAACTGGGGCGTAAAAAGCAGCTTTTAGATCCAGTGAAGTCGCAACGCTTGAAACTGGGTGGCCGGGTCAATGATCCCTAGGCCACCACCTATAGTCATATGAATGATCAAGTCCCATGCCACCCTACTACTCGCAAGGGCGCATTCGCTGTCTCCCTGCCAAAGGGAAGCGGTAGCCTTGGTTTTCAGCTTTTTCAGCGCCCCTTAAACCATCGGTACTTCCTACAGTCGTGCCCGTTAACGTGCCGCGACTTTAGGAAATGTAATGGTCACTACAAGAGCGCCCAAATTCATCTGACTAGAAACGTTTCTACACTATTTTTTCCGCGGCCGATAGCTGGGCCAAGTATCTGTGGTTGAAGGGCCAAAGGAGTGATTTATACCAAAGGGTTGCAAAGACAACATTATTGAGAATCAAGGCCCGTCTGAAGATAGAAGTGTGTTTGTTCTTCCACCCGGTCAGTTTGTTCAACGTCGGGGAGCTGATCCAAACATAATTTGTGGCAGGTTTGCCTTGTGCGGTCATGGATACCCCTAGAAGGTGCTTCCAACGGTATCCACCTGACCCTTGGAGTCTCTGGGGGGCGGCCTCCTTGGTAGTGAATCCACCACCATTGTGTTTTGCTCCCCCAGTTTATCTTCATATCGAAGATCTGTGCAAATTTTGTCATCATGTGGTGAATCTCCTCCATATTCTGTGTGGTTGTGTCGACCATGATCGTCAGGTCATCGGCAAAAAGGGAGGGTTCCAGCATGGATGGCTTCTTGGTTATATTTCAAGCTCAGTCTTATCCTCAAACCTATATCTATGCTTTCATAACGGATGCTGAGACCGGTTCTCAGCATGTGCTGCTCCCCACGAATAGATTGGAGCTTTTGGTGGGGAATTACTTAGTATCTCATCTTGATAGCATACTACAATAAAACCGGATGATGAATGAGGTTGGGGGGAACCACCCGGCCCTATTTCTCCGTACTCAACTACACACCCCCAATCTCAGTCATCAACTGTCCCCCCCAAGCATAATTATTCTGCACTCGTCTTTTGTCAGTGTTGTGATGTACCGCAAGGCCTATAGCCTCGGGCATGGCTTGGAATCATTCCAGTCCCAGGTAGCGATGCGGTTGTGCGAAGGGGAGGGAGAAGCGGGGCACTCGGAATAGTTGAGACCATGGCAGCGGGTTGTGGTCCCGTGGCCGTAGTGACCGGAATCTGGGCGGGTGCGCCCGTAGAGTGAGGGAGGGCTTGGCCCATGACGGCTGTCGCGCTAGGAGCGTGGACGGTGACCAGGATGGTCGGGTCGGGGGTGGCAGAGGAGAAAGCTCTGTCGTGGCCACCATGTCGGAGGACAAGGGACCCGGATTGGGAGCCAGGAGAAGAGAGAGTGAGGAAAGGAAGGATGACCAGCGTCTTGGAGTTGCCGCAAGCCAGCGGCAAGAGTCGCCACCTGCATCTGTAAAGGCGCAAGGAGGGAGGCGAGGAGGGTGTGCAGATCCCCCTGGGGCTGATGGCCCTCGTCCACCAGCAAGGGTATGGAGTCCGGTGCCAAGGTCATCGCCGCGTCGTCGCCACGTCGACGGCTTGTGACACGCTGTCCGCCATGGGGAGGTGACGGGGCGGAGTGGAGGGGGCCAGAGGAGGTCTGCGTGAGCGGAGGGCGTAGGGGGGGGTCCGCGGTAGAAAGCGACGGGCGGCGCTAGTGAGTCGAGCGCGGGTGCCCGCAAAGGGGGAAGCGTGGTTCGGATGCAGGGTGCCCAAATGGAAAGGGGGAGTTGGAGAGGGTTTAGGAAAACCCTATACCCTAGAAAAACCCTAAGGAAACCGTAACCGGAGTAGTGGTTAGGGTAGGGTACCGGTGACCTAATCAAGAAAATAAAATAACAAGAATGGGAGCGCCGAGAGAAAAATAAATAAACAGTGAAATTTTGAGAGAAAAATAAAAAATAAATAAAGAAAATAAAATTAATTAAAGAAATAAGGAAACAAAATGTGAAGAGAAAAATAATATTTATTTTTTTAGAATGTTCGGCAACATATCCCTACTGCCCATGGGGTGAAGAATGTGCCAAGGGAAAGGAGAGACCAAGATAAGCACACTAGGTTTCAAAATGCCACAGATTAAAAATTTCAGAAAATAAATAAAGAAATAATAAATAAATAAATAAATAAATAAATAAATAAATAAATAAATAAATAAATAAATAAGAAATAAATAGATGAGGAGGTGAAAGTGTGCCGAAAAATATTAAGTGAAAGAACAACAAAAAATTTGGGCAGCACTTCGTTACCCCCACGGGATCAGAATGTGTGCCGAAAGCAAGAATGACCAACTCCTAATCAGATTTAAGGGTGCCGCAAGGAAATTTGAATTTTCAGAATAAAATATAAATGAAATGAAATAAATCAGAAAAGAAGAAAAGAAAGTGGGGGATAAGATAATTCAAATTTCTGGAAAAAGAGGAAAGATAAATCAAAAGAAAAATAGAAAGAAGGAAAAACAGAAAAAATTCGAAGTAGGAGGGAAGGGGGATGAAAAAAGTGAAGGAGAAACGAGAGAAATAGGTGGGAGAGAGAAAAAGAATGAAGGGGGAGACGAGGGAAGTGATGGGTTGTAGTGGGGGGCGAGGAGGGTGAGAGAATGGGAGAGAAAGGGAGGGGAAGGGTGGGGAGGGATCAAGAAGCAAAGAGACAAGGGGAGAAAGAAAAGAAAATAAATGAATAAAGTAGAGTAAAATAGTGGGTGGTTCAAACCCTGGTGGCAGCGTGCATCCCAGATCGTGATAATATAAAATCCGGGAGCGTGGCGGGGCGGGGCGGGGCAGCGGGGGCGCATGCGTGCGGTGGCCTTGGCCTTGGCACTTGCGTGCACGCGTTGTGATGCCGCTTCTCATTTCTCGCCAGGTGGCGCTCCGTGCTGCTGCACCTTTTCTCAAATTTTCCCGCTGTTTTCCGCTGCAAACAGCCAAAAGATGCCACTTCTCTTTTCGCGCCACGTGGCGCTCCTTGCTGCTGCACCTTTTCTCAAATTTGCCCGCTGTTTTCCGTTGCAAACAGCTGAAAAACAGCGGAAAACCCCACTGTTGGGTTTTGCTGTTTTTCCTGCTGTGCGGTGTGGCGGGTGAGAGCGGGGAGCGTTTCCGCTCCGATACCAATGTGGCGGACACACCAGGTGTGGTGCTCCGCCTGGGATAGAGATGGAGGTGGAGGAAGAAGGGGGAGCAAGATGGCACAGCGCAGCTCCCACGCTAGACTCCGACGCACGTACTCCAAGATGTGCGAATGTAGAATGAATCTGGAAACAGACGACAGCTCGGGTATACCCCAGCGGACTGACGGGACTGGACTGGACTGGCTGGTACCAACAGAGGTACCAGCCTGGACTGGACTACCCCGAATACAACACAGGCCTGTGAGAACAGGCCAAGGGGCTGGTCTCACAGGCCAACCAGAGGTCCGTCACAGTGTGGTTGTGCCAAGCATGATCGTCAGGTCGTCGGCAAAAAGGGAGGGTTCCAGCATGGATGGCTTCTTGGTTATGTTTCAAGCTCAGTCTTATCCTCAAACCTATATCTATGCTTTCATAACGGATGCTGAACCCGGTTCTCAGCATGTGCTGCTCCCCACGGATAGATTGGAGCTTGTGGTGGGGAATTACTTAGTATCTCATCTTGATAGCATATAGCATACTACAGTAAAACCGGATGATGAATGAGGTTGGGGGGAACCACCCGGCCCTATTTCTCCGTACTCAACTACACACACCCAATCTCAGTCATCAACTGTCCCCCCCAAGCATAGTTATTCTGCACTCATCTTTTGTCAGCGTTGTGATGTACGGCAAGGCCTATAGCCTTGGGCATGGCCTGGAGTCATTCCAGTCTTAGTTTTCCTTCGTCGGGGGGGACTGCCCAGCCCCACACCTCTCTACTCAACTAGACCCACCAAATTTCTCCCTCCTCTGTAACTGGTCTACACCCATCCTTTGTTGTTGTTAATCTCTTTACAGTCACTCACCAGCCACCTAACAACAAGCTACCGTCTACCCCCTAGTCTACTCTGAGACTCAGAAGCCTCCCCTCCTCAAAGGATGCCCACTGACTCTCAAGAGATCCAAATCTTCCATTTGATCTCCCTCTCTGTAAGAGGGCCAACTACGCCTCCACCCCGGTTTCCCATTCCTATCCCTAGAGAGCTGGTACTCCTACCAACGTCTTTCTTCCATCCATTCCCCCCATAGGAGGGCCATCTGCGCCTTCTCCACCAATCTGTGTGCTGTGTGCTGTGTGAGGCTTGGCCCAAGTACATCGGGGGCCAATCTAGCACTAACTGAGCATGTGCTGGGGAAGTTTGAAAACCGACAGGATTGAACCCGCAACCTCCCCATTACAATGCCAGAGCTCCACTTTAACCCCCCATGCATGAAGATTGCGAGGTCAATGATGGGCAAGGACTAAGAAGTTAGTAAGAACAGAGGCAACCCCTGTATGACATTGTTGATAAGGGCAAAATCAGCTCAGTCAGAATTCATTTGGCCCCTGGCATGTCCGGGAGCAGATCATGTACTTCACCGTCTGCATATTTGTCTGCACTGGTCTTTATATTTGCAAACCTGCGTGGGCCCTTCATGATCTTTGCACATAATCAAACTTTATGTGGCAGCGGAATGACATACAATGTGAAGTCTGATGACGTGTGAGCACATAGTCAGGCTTTTATCACTTACTGAAAAAGAATGAGAAATTAATATTCTCTTCCTTTTCTTAAAAGAAAACTGCACACCATGTGAGGCTTTACTCTTGTGGAGGACATGATTTGCAAGTACAAGAACTGGACTGATCTTGACCTCAATCCAGCATCCTTTCTGCCCGTCCAGTCAGGCGACGTCAAAACTGAAATCCCATCTTCACTACACTTCACGTTCTCTTGCCCGATTACCAATTGATCATCCTCCTTCCTGGATCACCACTTCTGAGAAAGACCCCTTCAAGCGTCCACTCCTTTCAAAAAGCTATTGCCGTGACCTCGTAGATCTGATCATCTAGACTTTGCTTCTCCAACTGTAAGGCCCTCAAGTCCAGATCCACATGACCCATGCTTACTTGCTGATCATAAGCTCTTTTTTTAATAGAAAAAAATAACATCTCGCCAGTAATACTGCTCAGAGTGATAAGGGCACCTCCTAGTAATAACTTGACATGTGTGGCTCTGGTCTTATTGGTGGGGAGCAGCACCTGCTGGAAATCGGGTCGACTGTCCCATTGATACACAATGTAATGGCTGACTGCCTGGGACCATCGGTTGCCCTGGGGACTACCCAGGGGATCAACCGCTACAGTTGTTTGAAAGAGTGGGAGGCGGGGGGGTGGGGATCTGTTGAAGAATGGAATGCGAAGCTGCCTCTTTAGGCCTATCGGGAGATGCCTGATATTCTGACTAAAGGTGGGACCCACTGGACAGCAGCAAGCCTTTGTAAGATATTTTTTGGGACTCCAGTGCTGGCGGCAAATGGAAGCATTTTTGTTTCCACTCTGCCTACCTCCGCGTTTTCAGCACACCACGGGGATTGGTCAGTGTGCTGAAAAAGCAGAGGCAAACTTGCCCGCGAAGACAAGTCTTCCTGATCGGGTAACATAAACCTCGGGAAGTGCCGAAAGTTGCTGTGGCGGTGGAGTCCCTTTTCGTTTGCCCATTCCAGTCGGCTACGACTCTGGGCTGCCGGATGTTTTCCAGGCGCCAAGCAGTGGGGTCCCACCGTAAAACTAGTTTTCTCCCTGTCCTTTTTCACATACCTAGCACCCCCATGCCAATGCAGATCTACTAGATAAGAGGGAGGTGGGGGAATAAGCTTGCCTGCTATGAATTCCAAGGAAATGGAGAATCCAATTCACTATCCATGCAGTTCGTGACGATTATGCTGGGCATGTTCCTCTTTTTTTTTTTTCCTTCTTTTCTTTTCGAAAACCAGTCCCCCCACTAGGAGTTGTGGTAGGAACAACCTTTTTCCAGTGGGTTTTCTGGTTGCTGCACCTGCTGGAAAACGGGTGCAGCGTCCCATTCTATATATATGGATTTGAGTACACTTCCTCCTGCCAGCATTAATTGCCCTGGAGACCAGGGGAGTGACTGAGTAGATGGGTTTGAGAGATGAGGGAGCCTCCTCCGCCCAGCTGTGGGGCGCCTGACAACACCTTGTCTACCTAGGCCCCCTAGTGTCTCCTGAGGCAGCCTTCCAAAGTTGTGCAAAGGATCTGAAAATAAAGCATTCCAGTTTGTTGAGTGCTGGTCACACTGAGGTAAGATTGTTGGGATAGGGGGTTGCTGGGAGAGTTAACGTGGGGAAGGGTAGGGAAGGTGGCCTATCCTGTTAGGACAACCATTCGCTGCCGCTGCCAGCCATCACTGTGGGTCTGGTCCTTGGCCTCTACAGTACCCTGGGCTTTATTTGAAAAACAAAAAAAAAGCATTCCAGTTTGTGCAAGGGATCTGAGATGTAGAAAGGGATTTTGGGAGGTATCTGACTACATGACCCCTAGCCCCTCTCGCTTCTTTCGACATCCACCGAACGGTCAACATAAATGCACGTCAGGTTACCGGTGAGAAATCGGTAGTTGGGGGCAGCATTATGAGTAACGTTGCTCCTTACCTTATCTACCCTTTTTGTTACTTCCTATGGTGAGGAAGCAAGTTTCTTGAGAGTCCTTTGATTGTAAGGTGTCGCGAGTGCTCAACCTTGAGAGGCAACATTTTTCCTGGGGAGCAAACTGGTGGGAGACAGGCGTTGCCTTTGAAGGTCCCTAGACGAAGCACTCAGGTCACGGTCACCATGCCAACCTGCTGGGACTAGTACACGCATGCTGTGCCGTTTGTCCTTTGGTTTGCATG